TATCCGATCTGGTGCCGTCACGTCAACAGGAAGTGACACGTGTAGCAAATGCTTGGGAGAATCAGCCACTAAACTATGAAGACGAATGGCAGCAGGGTGGAGTCAGGGTTAAGGTCACATGGTTAGCCCGCCTCACCTGTGTCTCATTTCACAATTAGCTAACATCCACTTTTTCCCACAGCAACCAGTAGACACGCCCAGGCCTGGGGGGGCCCACACTCAGCTGTGCCCCGTTTTGCCCTCCCGTGCTTTGTCCTTTACCCTGAAGCTGAAGCGGCTGCTTCAGTCCTCGCACCCTGTCATCAAGACCATCTCCGTGACATCCTCCTGGGGCAATTATGGCCAGGCAGACAGGCAACCAAACATTAGCCTTGTGAAAGTGGGGCTTAGCGCCGGGGCCGACGGGTGGACGCACCGCGCACATAGCGAGACCCAGTGAGGCCGGGGGAGGGACGGAGTAGGCCGTGGAAGTACCCGCCGGCCATCCAGCTCACTGGGTATTTTTGATATGAAGCAGGACCCCAGAGGGACTTCAAGAAACCCCACCCCCCCCACCACCACCTCCGACTAGCAGAGCCACGCCAGTAAAGATGGGGTTGCAGGAGAATGAAGCGATCAGGCGGGAAGCTGAAGTGAGACGGCGAACAAGAACAGCCGAGCGCGTGAGTGTGAGATAAAGGCACTCGCTGCACGAGGACAGCCCCGTGCCGCTGAAAGGCGCTGGGCGCCTGCTGCTAACGTGCTAGCATGCTAACTGTGGGCTGCTTCTGCATTACTGCCATTAGCATTCAGGGATAATTACTACCTCTAGTGGCTATTCTAAATTTCCCTGTCCCTCGAAATAACATCATATAGAGGGTTTCCCTGGTTTCTCAAGCAGACATTGCTGCTCGCCTTGATTTTCAGCTGCAAGCGCCACCCTGGTAGGCATCTGCGGAGGCACAGCCCACCCTGCGGGGGGCGCCAGATTGCTCTACAAATGTCGAGCTGATCTAATTGCTATTAGGCATGGAAAGCCCTTCTCGGCCACCGGGAGACACCACGCTGGGTCTGTGTAATGACAGGGACTCAACCTGCTGGCATGAGGGCTCCCAGCCGCCCCGGGAATACCCCCGCCATACGGAGGAGCGCCTGTTCTCAGGCTTTTTTAAATAGCAGTGTAGACATTCCGGTTAAAGGTCACCAGCTCGTTTTATTATTGATTTAATGAAGAATGATGACAGTGCCCCCTAGAGGGAGGGACACAAACTGCAGTGTATGTTTGTCCATCTCACTGCCCTGCTTTAAGGAGTGGTTTGATCTTAAAGAACTCAGAGGGACGTTATTAAGAGGAACTAAACATCCAATAACGTGAGACATTAAGAAACAAAGTACTAAAATATAGAGGGCATGTTAACAAACTACCGCCTGCACTGGACGTGAAAATCCCTTCCAGGGTAACCCCAGCCTCCCTGGAACAGCTCACCGTGACCCTGTACTGCATACGTTGTTACGGATAATGGGTGTAAGGGCTTTCACAGACAATCAGAGGTCCTATTACCATAGAACTGCTATTGTTGTAAAGCACTTATTCCAAGAATTTCCCCATTTCCCAGGAGGTTATCAAACTTACATACTTCTTTTGTATTTCATATCTTACCCCTATATGGAATTTTGTTCTAAAAAGGAATCCAACGTCACATAACCAGGACTTATGGACATGAGAATTCCAGTTTTACACCATGCTGGCAAATTCCAAACATATTTTAGTAACATATATGCTCATACATTCATGAACTATCCTATAAATCAAAAACAGTATTTCTGCTATTAAGTAATTCTTCAAAATTCCAGCAGTAATCATCCTTTTCAACTAATATTCAACTTATATAACTAAGTGGAATTACAGGGGGGAAACAATATGTTTTGTAAATTTTTTTTTTTTTTCTTCCAGCCAGTAAAACTTGTAAAACTCTAAAATAGCATCTTAAATTCACTGCAAAAACCTTGGCAAGAAACAGGGCAAACTTAATAAGGCTGAAATTAATTAGAATTATAAGATATCGAGCGAACTGCACTCCCCAAAAAATGGAGAGTGTAAACTAGCTTTAATTAAGAATTGATCAATATTCCTTGAATTGCAGTGGTAACGGTATTTAAGCTTCCCAGAGCCCAGATGAAAAGAAAAACAGCTATTCTTTAGTTCAGAAAAATAATCTATAGAGCATATCAGCTCTTACAATTAACAATAGACACATGAAGGAGAGCTATCAAGTCAGCTCCTTTTAACATCAAATAAAATAATAAATAAACAAAATAGCAGAGAATTAGAGAGAATTAGAAATAGGGAAGTGAGTTTAATTGGTTTACTTTTTAGCTAAACATTGAGACAATATTGAAACACGTACACTCAAATATTTAAAGGATGCTTTGATATAAAGGACGTGCACACTGTAATGAAACAGCCTTGGCCTGCATGCCAAGAGACCTGCAGCAAGCGTAATTAGGCGGCTCTTCAAAACGTTTCCTGGATTTTTGTAAACAGGCAAAAAATTTATCCAGATAATGAATCTGGTTATATTTTCTGGAAAGATTTAACCAATTTTCAGTATTCTAAGGTAGGCCTAAAGACTTTCATAATTACAATGTCGTTGATACTATCAAACATCGCCTCTTGTTTAATACAATTTTAATCCAGTCCATTCAAAATGTCTATGGAGATATTCACAGTTGTCTTTAAACTATATTTTTTTATTTCCAGTTTTCCTCAAACTTTCCTTCCCTTTTCTGCCCATTGTCGTTTGTTTCTGGATATAATAAAAACCCAGAGGTAATGGGAATATCAGGAAATCTGTGAGGAAAAATTACAATTTCACAATTAGCTTACAAAACAGCCCCATTGCTTAAAAAAGAGAGATCAAATTTCCTAGGAAGTTAGATTAATTAATAGATCTGAGTGCTCTGGGCGTACAGTTACAATTGGTAACGTTAGCGATGCTTCTGTGATATTGCTACATGTATTGCAGCGAGCTCAGAAACACACAGGTGCCGACCCAGTTAAGATTAATTTAGAAGTGTGTGGAGGTCTCGAAATTGTGCCTTCAAGATCACAACTTGTGTAGATCTTGCTCGACGTTTGGTTTGTAGAAGGATTTAGCTAAACGTACTGGCATCTTACTGGACATCTCAGGTGCACATGCTAGTTAAAGTAAAACCAAGTGGCATCTTCATCAGCGGAGAAGTCAAGAAACCGCTGTCATGTTTGAATGGGAATCAAGTCCCACCAGGAGTCAGCTGCAGAGCAGCAAATACATTCAAAGGTAGAATAATCGCTGGGACAGTCAATCACCCTTTATGCCACCATCTTTACATACAAAAATCAGGCACTAAGAAACACACTGTGACATATAACATAGCTAAGAACGCTGTCGACTTCAGATGTTTGTTTGAAACGAATATCCAAACAGACCATGTGGATTCGTTTATATGGATGGATGATGCAGCTTTAAGTTGATCAAACAGAGAAACAATAATTATTTACTCAAGCAGATGAGTAGCTGTTTATTGACATTTAATTAGTACTTTCGTTCATCCAACGTGACGTCGAGGTGAGGATCAGAGAGCAGAGTCAGCCAGGCCTTGGAGGAGTTGGAATTAAGGGCCTTGCTCAAGGACCCAGTGATGGTATTATTACTTTGCCGGCCACGGAATTTAAACCTATGACCTTCTACACTTTGGCAAAGATGCATAATACACTGCTACATGTTACTTCATCCATCCATCCATCTATCCATCCTGCACTCCTGCACAAAGCAGGAGCATACCCCAGATATGATGTTGGTCAATCACAAACGACATGCATGCACAGCATCATACACTTAGGGCGACCAGCCAAACTGCAAGTATTTAGACTGCAGGACACTGGAGTACCTGCAGGATACCCGAGTGACATAGGAAGAACAAAATCCGCACACAAATACATATCATGATGAATAAGCCAAGAGCATATGTCTTATGAAAGAAGGCCGAGGGCCGGATCCTGGAACAGGCGAAATCGGCAGCTGCCTAAGGCCCCCGAATTACCTGCGTTTCAGAGTTAGTGACCCGATCATGAGTTTCCATGGTAGGGAGGCCCCTGAACAGGTAGAGTGGGCCCCGATTAGAGGCAATGTCAGCTTCCACTCTTGAGCAACATCAGGGCGCACTTGATTGTGTGACTTTATGTCAAACTGCTGAAGCATTATGAGAATTATCACGTCTCTAGACAAAACTCCACTTGAGTCAGACTCCACTAGAGTTTATGAGTCACTAACTGTCACCAGATGAACTTACTTGACTCTCCATGGGAGAAGACTCTCCGCTCTCTGTCTCGAGTCTCCATCTTGCTGGAGCGGGTAAAGCAGCCTCCTGCCACGCTCTGCTGCAGCCCCTCCCCTGCACATGCAATCATCTTGTCGCGTAAACAGAGGGGCTTCCTGTAGCGACTGTCAAAGCCTCAGTAAAGGAAACAGATTCGTAGCCTATAGCACCTCTCAGCACTGTCACAACATCAGAAGGAGCAAAGCGGCAGGGGGGGGCGGGGGGGTACTCTAGAGCACATTGCAACCCCCCCTAACGACCGGGGAGAACAAACCAGCTTTTTCCCGTAGACTTCCATGGATATTACAGTATCTACATTGAGATGTCTGAAGCTCTCATTCTGAAAAAAAAAACAATCAATGCTTTGTGCTTAAAGTTTTCCCCTCAGTTTTGTAGATATCTGAGCAAACCAGATATCAGGGAACATCATTTAAAACTCATCAGGCTTCCCGAAGAAAGCAGGGTTCAGTCTGGAAAAATGCCATGGAATTCATACCCCCCCACCGAAGTGAGCATCAAGCTTGTTATCCGTGGGCAAGTTAGTCAGCTAGACCATTTGGCAAACGGCCAGGTGGCTCAAACAGGAAACACAGGTGTTTGACTTCACAGGTTCATCGTTAAATGCCGACATGCCTCGTCCTAATTAGTGCCTGAGTGAAACGACGTGTTTGATTTCATCCTATCGACACATGGCTCTTGAAGCCACATATAAAAGGCACTGAAATGAAGGTTGATGTTTTTAACCTGCCGTTCCTTGCAGCTATTTATTACAGAATCGTGATACTGCAGGTGTCCAGGGGTCAAAGGTGAATGAAGTCACCACATCACCGTCAGGTAAATATCCCAGCCGAAGTCCCTGGAGGTAGGGCTGCAGGATATCACATCACGACATGAGAAATTTCTGCAAGTAATTTTATATTTATGTTTACAAAACATAACAGGAGATGAAATTACCCAAAATAAACTGCAGTCAAACAGAACTTATTATCTACCAATAGTGTGTCAAATAAGTTAGTGGGGTTGTTACCTGCTGCATCAACAGACACAAAGCAGTGCCAAAATGTTAAAAAATTAGTTTTGCCACCATTATTAATATTATTTGTCATTATGTAGTAGGAACGGCCATGTTGTTATTCTGTGTCTGGCATGATGTCCTCGGCCTTGTGTTCTGGGCTATGATACCACAGAAAGGTTGTTCAGGTAAATATTCAAGCAAATCCCTTTCTAAATGTTTACAATATCAGGCTCATCCACAAACTTCAGATGAGAAGTCTGTTTGCTAAACCACCTTGTGGCCTTCCGTGCTACGCAACAGGACATAAAGCTCTCAACGCAACCTCAGAGATTACTCCGGGGCAGCACCTCTAAGGGAAATCTCTGACAAATTGTCCAGCCGTCTTTATTTACTGTGTTTAAGTGTGCAAAGCCGGCCTTGCAGGCAGGCTGGAACGCGCCTTCTGGCCTCACCCCCCGAAGTCTCTGCTCGGGGATATCGATCCGGCCGTTTGCCCTCCGCTACCGCCCCCCCCCCCCCCCGCCGTCCTTCCAGCCTGCAAACGAGGCGGCCCTGGCCTTGCATTCTCAAATGACTTGGATGCCTCTCAAATGTCTTGCCAAAGTCAAGCTTACGTGGCCTGCCTGAGCGGGCGCTCAAAGGGAATATTCGATCGCGGCCCCGGCTGAAACCAGGCCGAACCTTTGTGAACGTTCCTAGGCGAGACAGAGAGGGGGGGGGAAAAAACGCTCCTGAAGGGTGAGATTCTCAACCCCGACAGGAAACAAAGAGGTGTGGCTCGCCTTATCCGCGTGGCAAACACAAGCTGCTTCCAACAGCCTAGTACTTAGCTAGCAAGAGTGACTCAGATCTGCACCGCTGTTGCAATGCTAGCCCGGGCGACGTGCTAATTAAACTGGTGAAGAGGCTAACACATTCTGACAGCATGACTCGCGACATCGCCATACTATTCATCACCATCCAGAGTCAAGGATGGAGATTTTAGAACGCTGTAGCAGGCTGGATCTTCTGCTCTGAGTGTACCAGCAGGGACATCATACGTGTGCTATTTTTTTCCTTCAGGTGGATAAGATCCTTCAAAAGTCGTCAAATATTGCGGACCGTACAAGAAGTGCAAATCCCTCAAGCTACGAGAAAGTCACGATCACGTTTCCTAGATGATATTAAGCTTTATTTCTTGTGAACGTGGCCAATAAACGATGCTTGCAGTAGGTGAAGCGTGTATTACTCTGAATGCGCGCTGGGGCGATGGCCAACACGTATGTGTGGATATACAAAGCCGAAACTCGAGACCGGATTCACGCAGCGACTTCCAGGTCCGAGGAACCCGGTTTGGGAGGGGGGGACGATTGGCCGACGCACAGTCTCCCGGAAACGCACGCGGCGGTATAACCAGCACGCACCGAGTCGGGCAGCACGGCGAGCCATCTTCACCACGGTCACACGCACACCGGTAGCCGTGACATCGCCTACTCACAGAAAACACATATGTGCGGTCTGGCGGTCCTCCATCGTCCTTAGGAGATAAGCCCAGAAGCACGCAATCGTTAATGATCTAACAAATGCTATTTCCTATTAAAGAGTCGTTTTGATTCCTCCTAAAACCAGGCAGTAAACACCAGCTAATAAGTACCCCGCACCTCTCCAGGCTGGCCATTCATTCTGTGTGCCAGTGGGGGATCCGAACGCCTGTCTCTCTATTGTCCAAATCCCCTTGGTGGTCATTGCCTTGAAATTATGCCTGTCCATTTAAGCAACCCCCAGTCTCATACCACAGATTGCAAAACAAAGCGTTCCCGCACTCGTGTTTTTATTATAGTTACGTAACATAATGCTCCTCTCAGCTTTCCTGGGGCAGTGCTAATGTCATCATTTTGCCATCATAATGATCGGGAATGGCACTTGCATGGGTCACGTGATGACTTGATGGACATATGCGGGTAGGGGCAGCTGACGCCGTTAGCCTCTGTCATTCTTCAAAACGTCTGATCGGGGAAGTACCACCATGTGATGGAGGTGATCCAGTCTGTGGCCGACAACGGAATGACCTCGCGTGCACGTGGGCGAGCGGCGCGGTGACGCGCGAAATCACGACCCAAGCACCCGCGCTGCTCTGAAGAATAAACGAATCAGTTTTACATGAGGCGAGCGTATGACATTCTACGAGGTGAGCCCGTGAATCAATTTTAGTTTTATTAAAATCATGTAGCCATTTTAATCGAACGTTATTATAAATAAGAAAAACATTTATGGTAAAGTTGATCTTTTGTTTTACGTCACCTGCCAATAACGGTACAGTTCAGTTGAATTTTACTAGTTCGGGTGGTAATACAGGGGCAAAATTCTGAGAAATTTAGCATACAGTCCATCCAGATTTGTTACAGTATTTCCAAATTAATGCTCTTATAACATAAGGATGATGCAAGAATGATGTAATACTACAGAGGCATATATGCCTGCTGCTCTGCACCAACCCAAAGCATAACCATAAAACGCCGTTCATGTTTCTCTCACATCAAAATGACAAAACGATCACTGCGAACACAATATAATCTGATTCACCCCCCGCCCCGCCTTGGATAAGCACGAAACACCGTGCATCTATTCACTAGCAAAACAAAGTGGTAATAATCCACAAACAATCAGATTAGTGTTAAACCATCTGCATCCCCGCGATCGCGCCGAAAAGGGGAATCTCAGATGTGAAATTTGTCGGCGGCATTTGCTAGTATAAAAACGCACTAATGCCACGGTGTAATGAGACTTCATGTCACCGCCCTGAAAAGCATTTTTCAGCTTGCTTTCTGCGTGTCGTTGTCAAGACAGGAAAGCACATGGATTGCCATGCTCCCAGTGAACGATGGCTCTGTTACCGCCTGCCAGGGCTCACGGAAACCGACTGTGGGGACGTAAGTCAGGAGCCTCATGAGTCATAACCTGGGATGTGACGGGGGCAGAGATGCATTGTCAGGGTGAGAGACACAGCGCGTGCTTTTAAAGGGGAGGCTGGCACCCATCCACACCCTGGCTACTCTGGAAGTCTTCGGGTTCTCACAGACTGCCTACCCAACCGACTGGATCCAAGTTCTGGCAAGCGTGCTATCAGGGACAGGCCACCTGTTCTCAGCCCAATCTGTCAGGTTGGAGCAGTATGTCGCTCCTAACACGGCTAAGTAACTTCACATGCCTCACCGCTTCTTCTTCTTCTTTTCGCGAACACCACTTTTTAGTATTATTTAACCATTTGAGACCCCCGCCCCCAGATTGTCAGGAGAAGGATGTCTGCGGAAACTAAAAAGTCAGTATACAATCACTCTATTAATTCAAACACTAAAAAACTGGCTTGTCGCCCCCTAAAACTGAATTCGCTGGGCTGATATGTTCAAAATTACATCCCTATTACATTTTATGTTTAGCTTTCGTTTAGCCTGGTATTGCTAAAATGCATAAGGTTGCAACAAATAAAAAATAGATTTAATATGTCATTGGCCATGAGCAAGAATATGTAATTTTTCATTGACTATCATTTTGCCTTTGTGGCAGAAATTTGATCTTTATATGATTGCCTTTAAGACGCAGATGTTGCCGTTTTGACCGAGGAGCGAGCGGTACATCTGTCTGCCTGGCCTTCCTGTAAATGGATTACCCACCCACCCAACTATCCAACCATCCTCTAACCCCTTATGCTGTTCAGGGTCACAATGGGCCTGGAGTCTATCCCAAGCAGCACAGGCCACAAGGCTGGGATACACCCTGAATGCGATTCTGGTCCACTGCAGCGTAAATAAACTAAGCGTACGTCTCATTTAACACAACTCCTTAAGTGCTAATAAACAATTTGCAGACAGCGTTATCCCACGGAAATGATTAAAAACATTTTAAATGTAGCTACTTCATCAAGTAACTAAGCATTTAGCATCTTTTCTCGGGGTTGCAAGATCAATGTCCTTTCAGGATTTGAACACATCATTTTGTTCTTTGACTGCTACGCCACTAAAAGAATGTCGACATAAATCTCAAGACCCTTCTGTATACAGACTGATGGTCAAATGCTGACAGAGTGGCCGGTGTGCAGGCATTAGAAGCAAGGCTTATGAGAACAGATAAAAATATGGATTCCATCCCTATTCCCATAAAGACTTCTTACGATCCACAATCATTTGACGCTTTCCTGCGAGGGCGTAGAACACAGCACGATGGCTTAAGGGAGACAGACGTACAGATTTATTTTGCCCTGACTGTACGAGGGCTTCCTGAAGCATTTTGCCATTCATGCTGATCGTTAAGATTTTGTCCTTAGATCAGGATCCTGTTTATTTTGAACAAGGTAGAGTAGCAATTAGGGCAAATTCATGCATTTTGGATGATGCTGAGCTCATTAAAGTCTTTTCGGAACACATGTCCTCCAGCCTAATATCAAACTGTACGTATATGCACTTTCTTAGGATATCCTACTGCCTTAAGAAGACGTGTTCTTCATGACTATAACCTGTTTACATACACTTCATAGGCCTAAACCCGTGTTTAATCATGCCTCGGGATTCAGGCAGCAAACGACCGAGTGTAGGATTCCAAGTTAACCTGTACGCTAGAATAAGTCATTAAATCGAAGTTTTTCAGATCAATGTTCACCTATACATTCACTTTTCAGTTTTATTTACTTTAATTAAAATCTTGAAATAATTAAAAAGTGCAGTTCCGCATAGTGTTTTTACTAATTTAAGATATTCCCAAAGTTCGCTAGTCGAAGGACTATACTTCAAAGGGGAACGCAGAGGACATTTCATATTTTATTTATGCAGCTGTTGCTTTTATCGGGGTGACTCACTCGTGGCTGAGAGACAGGATCAGCAGTGAACTATGTTACTGGGGCAGAGTGTGCCGATTTGGACAGCAGCGGACCTCAAGACGTGACTCAGCACATCGTGTCCCCATTGTGACTTACTTCGTAAGGATGCGGGGTGCTGACATCTCCACCAGGAGCCGGGGGGATGGACGGAGGAGCCCGGGGGATGGACGGAGGAGGACTCGACCCCTGGGCAATTTGTTGCTTATTGCAGCTCCTAGAGGTTTTAAACTTTAAACCACAAGGAACGGGGGGTGTGAATAGCCTACATGTACGGATCAAACACAAATGACCCGTCATTCTCAGAATAGCTCTTTATATAAAATGTAACGATCTGACCGTTCGGCAAGTAGAGGCGATCCGATCGGCGCTTCAGATCACCTGAGAAGCCGGGGTTACTTTTTCCACAAAGCTAAAAATACGACTAAAAAAGAGCAGATGTTCTGTGAAAACGCTGAAATTAGCATATGCACAAGCATCACACAGCATAAACGGACCCAAAACGCACAGTTTGACTGAAATGAATTCTTTTTCATCATTCATTTAGGGAAGTATGAATATGCATGGGCCACACCTATGCTATACTTTTGTGGATTGTGGTTGCCAGATTTTCCAAGACACGTTCACTGAAGAGGATTCCGCGGAGCTCTTAGTACTCACATATTTCTCAGCGTTTTAAAAGCACCCTTTCTTAATACACTTAAATATGATGTCCTTCTTTTGAGTGGCTAACTTGTTACAGCCGTCAGTAAACGAGCAAGCGGCTATTTTAACGGAATTAGTCACCAATCTGGACATTGTCTCATAAATGCCTAAAACATGGCTAATACGTATATGAATCAACGTATACGTGCTAGCTACAGTATAAACCAAAAACTGGATTAATTTTAAAAAATTATTATTATTTGCAGCGTAATATTATTCCTGCGGAAACACGAGTATACCACAAGATTAGTAAACTATTAGGCGAAGCTGAATAGGATAGTCGGATAGTCGTAGATTATTTCGATCGTTTCTGCTAAACGTTAGTATACGTTACACTCACTCGCCTCTGGCAGTTAAAACGGCAGATGGGGGGGTGTTGATTTGCACTGCACTAGCGAACTGGTAACTGCCTGGCAGCTTTCTAAAATGAGCAATCCGGCAGAAGATAATACTTAAGATATATTGCTACTATTACTACTGCTGCTTAAGTAGCCTACATCATATGTAGGCAAATCAACATGACGCTCAAAATGTAATGATCAGAATGACACAAAAAGACACATACAGGACCCAAAGTTATTGCAGCCCTTTCGTGGACACGTAAGTTTTGCATAAGTACAGCCAAAAGTAAAGCAACGCACTCGCCCCGTATAATCAAGG